AGAACCAAAATCTCCAAGCCAGATTGAACTGTCCAGTTCTGGAATCGGTTCATCACGTTGTTTGAAAAGTCGAACTAGGGCAGATATGATATCATTCAAACGTTTCAGCACTCGTCCTCTACTTAACCATCGGACTTCAGAGTGAAGAAGCAGTTCACCGTATTGACAATCAATTTTATCGTCCAAGGTTTTGAATAATTTTCTTTGTATTGCTTGAGCTCTAATCTTGTTCACAATTTTACTACCAATTCTAAAACGCTGTTCTGTTTTAGTTAATGTCCACATAATGCTTGCTGATGGATAATGCAGTGGTGACAGAGAAATTGCGGAAAACTTTCATCTTTACGACATAACCCCACAAGACCTTTATCACGACCCATCATAACTGGAGCGCCATCGGTTGTCAAGCCTACCATTTTCGATATTGGAATTTTCTCAGAAGAAATAATACTTCTAAAAGAAGAAAACAAGTCTTGCCCAGTAGTCTGTCCTTTTAGTGGAAGAAACTTCAAAAGATCTTTAATAGTAAAATCACTAAAAGCCATCCTGACGAACACCGCCATCTGACAGGTGTCAACAACATCTGTGGATTCATCCAGCTGCAGTCAAAAATAAGCACAGTTATCGGAGTCATTTCTTAACGGTAAAAGTATATCCTTGCTCATTACTTCTACTCGTCTCATCACTGTATTAGCAGAAAGTTGCATAGATTTTATAGCAGACACTATCTCGTCTTTATTTCTAAAGTTGGCAAATAATGAATCTGCAACTTCTTAAGACGCCTGTTTTATCATTTTCTCGTCTTTGTAAGGTTTCTTCTTTTGTGTAATTGTCTGGGACACCCAGTATGATGCCTTATTTGCAGCCTTACTTTTGTCGATTGTTTTTAAAAAGATTGTCTGTTGTCCAATTAACTGATTATTTAATTGTTTCAGATTTCCGTTCAGTTGAAGAATGTAGTAGGAATGATTTTCCAAAATTCGAATGTACAGTTTTACACTGCCACTCGATATTCCCTTTTTAGCAACGGAAACAGATGTATTACATCACAAACATTTATTTTTACCTTCAACTTCCGTAAACAAATATTGTTCTTCCCATTCCAAATGGAAATGGTATGTCTTCATCTTCTTACTACTGCCCATAATTTATTCCGTTCAAAGTAATCGTGTTTATTATTAGAATTTACAAAATTTACGGAAGCTTCTATGGTTTTTACACCTTTTTAAAATATGTTGTCAGCCACCAGAACTGCCTTTGGAGCTACCGGTAGCTCGCGAGGCGACCACTGCTTTACATCCCTGAGAAGATTGGGATAATAAATGGTTCATGAATGCGCCATGGACTTGCTCAAGTCAGGAAAGGATGCGGTGTAAGATGTAATGTAAAGCTTTAAGTTGTACACCACATGCACCTAACGGTAGCAATTTCGGACTAGGGTGCCATTAAAAATGGCTGCTTCTATCAGAGGAGATGTAAGTCGGTGCAACGGCAATGTCTTCCAAATGTCGGCGTTACTCTTGTAAAGAGTCATTCAAACAATTAGAGATAACGAAGATTCACTCTTTATATATGTGAAGATGCTTAATTTACGTCAAACAAGATCTTGTAGCTCTTCCTATTGAACAGAAAAGAAATTAGGTGATACGGACTGCGCCGGTCACATGACATAGTTGTTCCTCTCCATAGATTAGCATTGATCGCCAAAGGTTCCACAGTTATGGCAGTAAGGCCTTATAACCACTTACCAAATTCCATAGGGTATTCCAAGCATATAACCAACTTACATTTAAATCAAAGGTTAAGCGCATTATGTTAAACAATCCCTTCTATAGCGTTTCGGAATATTTTCAGTGTTTTTGAATATGTGACTTACACATTTACCACTGTCGTTTGTACTTCATCGGGACCGATCTTATATTATAGGTGTATTTTCGAATTTTGTGAAATTCTATGAATTGTTTATGTTTTTGTGTTCTTTTATTTATTTATTTGCATCCACTTTCTGCTATTCACCCAAACCCTTAAAAACACTATTTTCTGAAAGCAGAATGCCCATCTCCTATATTTTTTGAGTAACAATAAACTACTTTGAGTGTGCTAAAGTCACCCTCCATCCTTGAGCTTCTAGATCTCAGTGCATTTTGCTCATTGGTCATATGTGAGATCTGAGTGGCCCTTTTACCTCATCTTTACAACAGCTTTTCGGAACTAAGTACAGCTAGTTTAGGATCAGGTACCTTATGTATACGGCATTGGAGTGGCACAGCAGAGCAGTAGGGGAATCTAGCGATACAGCAAATGTTTCCATATAAAAAATCACTCGCTACTCCGTCTTGCTCTGGGCAATCTACTTTCTTTGTCACTGGGTATATAGGTCGACATGATATGAAATATTGAGCCTTAGTTACGTTTATACTCGTTTTGCAGTTAGCAAGAGTAAGAGAAATGTCAGACGCATGCGCGCTAACAATACAGCCGATTCTTCAAGCCATTTTCTTGCAACTGCCAGGGTCTTGCATAAAAATGAATCAGTTGTATCTTTTATGCAAGTTTGTCTACAATTCTAGTGGAATAGTTAGTAACTTAAAAGTTATTAATGCATTTAAATTTCCCTAGGTCCATCCTGTGGTTTATTATATTATTTAATTGTTTACAGACATACGTTTGCTTGTGTATTGATGTTGGATGCTTGATTGAAAACAGTTTTTTGATATTGGCGCCATCTGTTCTAAAGGGGTAAAGACCAAAACCAAAATTATAGGCTAGTAATGTGATAAAGAATATTTCGTTTAGGTTGATTAACCGTGCTAGTTTGAATCGAGAAAGCAGGGACGTCTTACAACTGCAAGTAATTGGATGCAATTGCCTTGCAGACAAAATCATGCAACTGTATGAGCTTGCGGACTGTATAACGATTTTTAGGCAACACTACCCAGTGTTGATTGGAGTTTCCGAAAATCATTTGGTCATTGTTGGTAATTGCAAACCCCTATGGTCTACCCAAATGGGTTCTTAAGAGCTATAAGTAGTCATATTACAATGTGCTTTTTGAGCTGTCAAACCTATTGTTGGTTTTTCTGCTTCTTTTCTCATCACATACATCAACATTCGAGTTACTACCCTGGATATCTTGATTTAAAGACAAAAGGACAAAGTTAAAGTGATAACGTAACATATTCCGAAGCTGAGACCATACGACAATTAATGACGCGTTCGAGATTTGTTCACCATTCGATAAAATGGCAAACGACAAACTAATAATTTGACTTGCTTGAAAATACTTACTTTCTTCATTATTGACCGACTTCTTCCAACAGCCTGCTTAAAATGAAATAAATTAACAAAAGTAACAGCACAGTGACAAACCATGGCAAGAATCATAACAATAAAATTACACCGTCGCACGCGAGAATATGTTGCATGCAAGATTCAACAACATTGCCCGCATATTTTCTCATCAATCGTTGTTTGGACTCTGGTGTTTTCCCAAATATCTTAAAACTTGCAGTTGTTAAGCCCATTTTCAAGTCAGGTCAAAGAACGGAGATGGAAAATTATAGACCGATATCAATATTATCGGTTTTCACTAAAATATTTGAAACTGTCTTAAAAACAAGATCCAATGCATTTATTGATAAATATAATTTATTATATAACAATCAATTTGGTTTCAGAGAGGCTAGATCAACACAAGATGCAATCGTTGATATTTTAGACAAAATATCAATTGCTCAGATGAAGATGCTTTCTGTCTGTGTATCTTTGTTGATCTAGCCTTTAATACCGTGAATAATATTTTGCTGTTAGAAACATTGGAAAAATTAGGCTTTAGAGGTAATGCCTACATGCTTATGAAAAGCTACTACCCGATAAAAAACAATGTGTGATAATGGGGGATCAAGTAAGCAAAGAAGGTGTTATTAATTATGGTGTGCCACAGGGTACTGTTTTAGGACCTGTCCTATTATCATTGTATGTCAACGATCTATCCACTTTGAACTTACGAGGCAAAATGACGAGTTTCGCAGACGACACAGTAATTTATTACAAGGATAAATCATGAGAATCAGTTCGAAAAATAGCAGAGTTAGACTTTGAAAATGTAATCAGATTTTTTCACTCTAAAATTTTAACAATAAATTTTAGCAAAACATTTTTCTTACCTTTCTATAATAGCCTGAAAACTGCTCCAAATTTCTTATCGTTAGATATAAAAAATAATAATGGTATAAAGATAAATCGAGCGTCTAAAACAAAATATTTAGGAATAATGTCTGATGACCGTCTTAAATGGCATGCTCAGGTTGGGTATCTTACAAATAAATTAAGATCACTGATACCAAGTTTACAGATCTTTAAAGATTTCTTTTCTACAAAACAATTGATTTCAATACATTATGCATTAGTCCAATCATTATTAAGTTACGGCATTGTTGGATGGAGGGAGTACTGAGTACGGCATTAACATAACTTGAAGTTGTACATAAATGAATTTTGAAAATTATTTTTATAAAACTGTGGATACAAGACTAATTGTGTATGATGAATGAAATAATAAATTAATGTATATTCAGATTTTCTCAACCAAAACTTACCTACTTGTAGAACTGTAGAAATTTATAAGGTTTTAAATTCAGTTTATTTATATATATATATATATTATATGACAAATTTGTGTAATTATGCGATATAATCATTTTTATTCAATAACGATTATTAAGGATATATCAAAATGTATCAGCATGTTCTGTAATGACAATGTTTCATATGGGTAAATACCCGCGCACAGGCTACTGTGTTTGTTTTATTCGAGAATAATTTTATTTTACAAATAAATATTATTATTATTATTACTATTTAATCCGCCACCTTCCCCTTTCCGGCTAAGAATTTTTTACTGACCACCCATAGTACACGGCTTTCTGATGTTAATAGTTTGCACAAATAAAGCAACTCAACAATAAGGATTCTATGAATCAAAACTCTTCAAAACATCATGCAGAATTCCTATTGTTTGTACCACCCTGTGTAGCCTCTTCCCGATCGCTCCGACATTTCGATGACAGATCGTGGCGTGCTGGTGTCAGAATACTTTATCGTATGCAGTGAACAAACTCGTCTTTTCGTTCAATCCACAGTGCATTTCTCCCATTGCTTTGATTTGGCTTCAAATACGTTGGTGGTGCTAGTGTACCATTGTACATCTACCCATGACTACAACAGCTAAGATACCGCCGATCTCCATGAGTAAGCTTTATGTAGGGAATCTGCCCAACGAGACCAGCGAAACCTCTCTTAGGCAGTTGTTCCTAGAGCAGAATCTCTCCTGTACCAGCATTCTTGTAAAAAGAGGTAAGTGAGTACATTGATGAAATTGCAGCTCATACACGAGCGTTCTTTCTTGCAATGCAATCATGCCATTGTTTCCTGTTACATGAATATAAAATGAAACTCTCAGACTTGCCTCTCAAACTTTGCTATGGAAGCAAGCTAATCCACTTACTGCCCATACACACGGGCGAGAAGTTATCGCACCGAAAAAAAAATCGAGCGTTTAGCATTACAACGATGTATATACTGGGTGAATTTTCAGTGTGGGCTCGGTCGATAACTCCGTTGTTACGCACGGATTTTGTGTTCATATTGTTAAAATTATATCGAAAACATCATTCAACTTTGACCCCGACAGATGTTACAGCTACAGTACTGATCTTTTTGACAAAAAATTTAATGGCCGCATATAGCTATTTACTGTTTTAGTTCCTAAAATATCTCAGACCTTAGACTATCAATATGGCAAAATAAACTACTCAAACATTTTCAAATAGAACACCCTGTAATATTTTCACATTTTCTGATTGATCGTTTCACAAGCTTTTTCCTGATGCAAAGTTTATGGGCGCTTGTACGACTGGTGTTTGAGCTTTAAAAACACCAATCGACCATCTTATTGCATGAAACTGGGTAGATTTGATTCATAATGAAAATACATCAATCCTGAAGATCTTCCGTTCGGACTTATCGCTATCTTTTATTGGTTAAGGTATTGTGATATTTTTCATTCACCTTGATATCTGGTTTATAAAGGGTTAGCTATAACTCAAAAACCAGACGTACAAACCTCCACATACCCCATATCAAAGATATCTTGTGAAAGGTCAACCAAGGAGCGTGAAAATATATAGAATGTTTTATTTAATAATTTTGAGAAATCCTTTACATTGCATTCATCACAAACCGCCCAGAGAACTGAAAAAATAAGTAGATAGGAACAAAATATAGGATCACCAAATTTGTCTGATGAAAAATGCAGTAGTCTAGCTGTAATAGCTGAGAGTGGTCAAAGTTGAGTTCTTTTGTCGGCAGTTTGCTCAATGCCCAATATCGTATCAATTTGATTTGCTTAAAAAGGACCTATTCAAATCTGCAATAAAATGTATTCTTTTCCATTAAAAAAAAGAATGTTCACCACGTAGTTATATGCCAACCTGTAGAGATAAGAAGAATTTCCAAATATGGACACTACCATTTTTGACATCAATTTTTTTAGATAGCATGTGTAATAATAATAACACATTTATCGACCGAGCACATACTAAAAGCTCACCCTGTATTATAGAGCCCTAGTGCAATGCAATGATTTTGGAGATGCCCGTTCCACGAAACACGCTCATCAGGACTTGTCGACGCGCGTCCAACGCTGCCCGTGTGGACAGAAGGTTGTCGCGCCTCGTGATAAGTGGTCTCCAGTGTGTATCGGCAGTCATTCTCCCCTTTCGACAGAGCTATTACATAAAAATTCTATAAAACTTCAAAAACCGACCAATTGTTAACCTGCTGCCTAGATAGTTCCGCGTTTGCTCCGTCTAAGCGCTGTTAGCGTCATCAAAAGCGTCCATCTATGGAGGAATGACTCAGCGACACGACACGCTCAATGACCGTGCTACAAGTCAGTTACTCATCATGCTTTGTTGGCTGCAGTATGCCGATATAGTCTGTATGTTATATTCTGAGGAGATATGAGGTTGAGTAACAAAGTAGCAAAATCACATCTGGATGATTGTGGGTATTGGGCTGCATGTGTATACTCATAAAATCAGTGATATTTGCTATGTGAAAAAATTATTACTGAATGTGTTGCTCAATAAATATACCTATTAGCTGTGCCTGGCGGATTATTTGTGTTGTCCTTTCTGAAGAGAGGTTATGTTCAAAGTTATACTATACATTACGATTTTCCCCACTTTTTGCGTTTTCAAAAACTCTGAGAAGCATCACGGGAAATTGGCACCGCACCCATGATGTGAATAATTGAGCCACGTCACAGAAAAATTAGGAACGGCGCATCACATGCAAAACAGTTTCGCACTGCCTCTCATCTAGGCGCTGATTTGTATTTTCTAGTTCACATCGTAAAATAAATTTCTATAGAATTTAAATGAATGGAAATAAAAATTAATGTGAGATGTAATAAATTTTTTACGTTTCATGTATACTCATGTATGTATGGGCAACTAGTTTTTAGCTTTGCATACATCTCAAATATATTTGAGACAAGGAACCAATAGAATTATCATCAACACAGATTATTAGCACACAAATCCTCACAATGCACCTATGCACTGCCGTTTCCTTCCAGCTACAGTACACAACTTACAGCCTAGATCTCCAGTAATTACATAGCTGAACAGCTGTTACATCACATCAAAGTCAAACATTGATAGCTGAAGCATCATGACGTGTAGGCAACAGGTACGGCTGAGGATCGAGTCACAAATGTACAGCCTAGTGTACAGAAAAAACCTATATAATATCAAAAAGACCGACATAACATACGTAATTCCCATGCGGAGCTTACTGTAAGAATATATCAATACAATACAAATTTGTACGTGTGCCATTCAATTGATGCGTGTTGTACAAAGACAACATACCTATGTCCAAAATACAAAATTTTCAGGAAACAGAAGAAACGATTTATTTCAAAACAAATAATTTTTTGTTAATCACTATTAATAGTAGCTTGCAAAATATGGTGCTCACTAAGCAAAATTATGTGTTCTCGAGTAATCAAATAAAAACAGTTTAAAACTGTTGGACATAAGTTGTTTTTGTAAAAAGCACACATCCTATCGTGTCACGGACTTGTGCTTTTTGCGGAAACCTCGAAATTTCGACTACTTAAATATTAGCATTTATGTCGTTTTTGCAGAAGCTTTGTTGTCGGTCTTTAAAACATCCTCTTTTGTATTAGATTGTGTCACTAACTCAATTTCGTTAAATTTGGACTTATACGGTTTTTGTAAAACACACTTCAATCATACCGTTGTTTTATATCTCGAAGACTTCTTGTTGCGTTGCGAGATAAGTGAATAGCATGAGGATCGTGGACTTGTCAACTCGACAGGTTCGTACTGAAGTGACAAATTTCCACAGTAAAGCGGATGTCATAAGATTAGTATCTACCGTGATCTGTCTGCATTTAACGAGGAATGAAATACTTAGTAACAGTGAAGCTTAAACGGCCGTAATTTTTTGTTAATGTATACGGTTAAGTAGAAATGCAGTCACGTAAAGGTTGGTAAATACTTATGGCACGGACCACAGTGTATACTGATCGTGTGGCATTCGTCTATTGATCAAATTTTGCCTTTATATACCAAACTCTTAGATGAGTGATTGACAGTTTTACTTTCCATTCATTTTGTGATTGAATGGCAGGAAAGGGCGCTTGTGTGAGGGCGTAAAGGTGATGACATTAAGCCAAATGAGACTAAGTAAAACTTTCATGGATATATTTCCAAAATTGCTTGGGCTTTAAGTTTTTCAGTGTTTTGTCATTGCCAATTTTATATTTAGAAACAGGCCACCATGGTGGCTGAGAGTTATTTAATCTATAGTTTCATTCACGATGAGTAGAACATGGAGATATATCAGCGAGACATGATCTGGATAAGTTTTATGAGATATATTAAGACACAGGATGTTCAGCGTCTGGAATCATCAATCTTCTCTTTAGCTCAAGCTGAATTCAGTTCCTCAACACAGTATGTATATGTCGCTTATTACTGTTACCACTTGATGCCATAGCTTCCTTGACGTTGAATTCTCTTTTTTTTTAACTGGGCTGACACTTCCTATGCAACGCCGTTCATCAGCTCATAAAGGATTAAGTTCAGCGAAATTTAAATCCTCTGAGAAAAAAGTCAATTACTGATCTGTATTACAGAGAAACTAAACTTATTAAATCAGTCAACCAGGCCAATATAATTAGTCCATAGACATTCTTTCCCTGTCCTACTGGTTGTTACTCTCCATGTGGTAACGTTGTCCCATTCCACATCTCTGCAGCATTGCTTCAGCGAGTTGTGTTTCGTTTCGCGCAAGGTCCGTGTGAATGATTCTTGCGCATCAGTATAGATATAAGCCAGGCGGTCAGCCTAGATAGCAACTGCATAGTATTAGCGTCATTTGTAAGGTATAAATATACTAAGGTCAAAAAATTTCATATATCACCCACCTCCTACAATCCTCAAATTTCAACTTTTCTGAAAATGTTCAGCACGGGTATTATGTAAAAAACTGAAAAACGTAAAAAACCGACGAAATGTCGTCTTGCAGACCAGGTAGATGTTAGTGTGCAAATTCCACGTTTGCTCGCTAAAATCGCTGTTCGCTGACGTTTGAGCAACACGTAGAACTACAATTCGAGTTCACATCTGTAATAGCTTGTGCTATCTTAACGTCATGTAGAAAAACCTACCTTATGTCACAAAACACCTACGAAGTGTAAAAAAAAACGACGAAATGTCACTTTTCAAGATACGTAATACCCATGCCGGTCCCTCCAAAATGACAAAAAAGGAAGAGCGCTTTTTGGCCTATTCCTCAGCCGCCACTGGACCAGTTTCCAGAAACTACAAAGCTCATAATATCTTACTTTCAAAATTGTTCGCGATTACAATACGTCATTGCCCAGTGGCGTAAAAAACAAAAATCAAGTAGTAATTTTGTATGTTTTTGGCCCTAGCTTCATCGCCAGCACTGGTCTATTTTCGTAGACTACAAAGATTTCTTGTCCTTAGTAAATTTGAAAGCTTGTGTGAAAAAGTGATAAAAATCGATTCTTTCCAAGATATGGGAGGATCAAGAATCATTAGACAGAACGACAGAAGGACAAGCAGGCAAATTTTGGAAATTACAATTATTAATACTTCCTCGCAAGTGGCGTGGGAAGTGATAAAAGAGGGATGAATTTCAAGTAAACCACATATATTTGTGTATCCTACCGCGCAGTCACCTGGACCAGAAACGGTACGTTAACAGTGGAATATGCTATGAAGTAAGAAATA